CTGGGTTTTCTCTACTTATGTAAAGGATTAAGGTGCTCTTGTTCATGGAAGGTTTAGACTAGCACTGCACCCATGGTGGTTGATGTCTGGAGAATGCATTCTCAAGAGAAATCAGGTCTGTGCAATACTGGCTTGTTGCATAGAATCAGATTAATTTTCTAAAGTGCTTAATCACACTGGGGGTACCACATGAGTTGTTGAGAGGCTGATTTTTTTTTCACGAGGTCAGTAAGAGGTGTTGCTAATAAAGTCAGGCACAGATCTTCTATAGTACCTTTATAGACCTAGGAAGGCCCAGACCCGCTTTTTAGTTCTTGGTATGGAGGTGTTTGCTAGCACCTCAAGTTTGTCCATTAGGGGTTATACCTTACTGTTCCCCACTAGATTTCCCAAATATTTCATATCCTGTTTTCCCACCCTGGACTTCTTTAGTTTACTGTTAAATGGACATCTCCTAGGGCTTGAAGGACTGCTGCTAGGTTCTGGAGGTGGTTGGGCCAGTCCTGATTGTAGACCGCCACATAATCTAGGTACGCTGTAGCATGATGAAGGTGGGGCCATAACACTTGGTCCATCAGCCTTTGAAAGGTGGCTGGACCCTCATGCAAACCAAAGGGCATGGCAACAAAATGGAATAGGTCCACTGAGGTAGAAAAGGTGTTTTTTCCTGGGAGTTGATAGTAAGGGAAAGTTCTTCTTCAGGCTCCATGGTGTCACCTCTGGCACAGACCTAGGCTCGTCCTCTCTTCTGAGATGACTTTGGCTGTTTCTGTGAGCCTTGGGACCTTCATGAGACTTCAAAAAGATCAGAGTGAACAATGGGGAATAGGTCCCAGGCATCTGGGTGTGGGGGGCTTTTCTTGCATCTGAAGGGTGTCTGAGGTGGAGGGAACAGATTCTCTTCCGAGGAGGATCCGAAGATGTGTGCAGTTGTGTCCCAGGATCACTGGCTGGGGTAGGTGATCCTATCTGGAGGTGCCCTATCTGGTCTGCTGCTGCAAAATTACAGATGCCATTGGATATGTACGGATTTCTCCATGGATGCAGGAAATCTGGACTGATCACTCTCGATCTGTGGCTTTGGGTCAGACTAAGTCCTGTTGAAGTAGAGTTTGTCCATACCACTTCCCCATGTTTGGCCCTATTTTTATTGGGATCATGAAGGGCCTTGGGTCCAAACTCCTAGGCAATTCTGCCTCCGAGAACCTTTTGGTTGTCTCCACTTTCTCCACGGCAGATGTGTTTGAACCTCCATAAGGAGAATGTGCAGCTATGGTTCCAAGATAATATTTTCCATGAGCTCCACCACCATCTTGGCTTCCAGGTATAGCCATTGGGTAACTAGGTCCTGGAGCTGTTGAGCTACCTCCTGAAGGTGTGCCCCATTAAGGAATGACTCTAACCGAAATTTGTTTCAATAAGCCTATAAAGAGAGACCAAGGCAGCCCAGGATGCTCCCCTGCCCCCACGCTTCCTGCTGTCCTCTTTTATACTGTAACTGGGGGCTGGTCCACACTAACCCCCCACTTTGAACTAAGATACGCAACTTCAGCTACGTTATTCACGTAGCTGAAGTCGAAGTATCTTAGTTCGAACTTACCGCGGGTCCACACGCGGCAGGCAGGCTCCCCCGTCGACTCTGTGTACTCCTCTCGCGGAGCAGGAGTACCGGTGTCGACGGCGAGCACTTCCGGGATCGATTTATCGCATCTTGTCTAGACGCGATAAATCGATCCCAGAAGATTGATTGCTTACCGCCGAACCCGGAGGGAAGTATAGACGTACCCTAAGCTCCATCTCTCTTCTCAGGTGTGGGTGGGGCTAATCAGCCAGCTGCACTCCTCTGACCTCAGAGGAATGGTATCCCTTATAACTTCACAGAATTATGTTTAAATGTAACATTTATTTCAGTTAAAAGATATTAATAGAATACTGTCAGTCACTTTTCTAGCTAATAACTTGTTAAAATGTATCTTACAGCTAAAGCAGATCAACCAGCGGACAGATATATTTGTTGAATATCATATTCAACAAACGTCACTGGTTTTGTTCAAGTAATAGATTTTCTGAATAATACTCGACCAGTCCTACTTACAGCATCTTATTTTTTGTTACAGTATATCCCTATCTTCAGTCTTTCATTTTTTTTGTTCTGTATTAGATTGTTGTGCACCTTTTACTAAGTTGTCTTTAGTGTCTTCTTCCTCTCTCATTCTTTTTCCATATACTGTGTTCTCTACTGCCTCATTTACAATTTCTGCCTTTCATATTGTTTTCCATTTCTCCCAAAAGCATGGTCACGTCTGTATTTCACCAGTTTATCCCTCCCTCTGTTCTGCTCAGACCAATACATGCACCCCCTGTAGGGCTTGGAAATTTTACCAGACAGCTAATAGCCAGAGAACTAAGGCCTTGGCTACACTGGCGCTGCACAGCGCTGCAACTTGCTGCGCTCAGGGGTGTGAAAACGCACCCCTCCGCCGAGTGCAGCGCTGTAAAGCGCCAGTGTAATCAGCGCCTGCAGCGCTGCACGCTCGGTCGCAGCGCTGCAAGCTATTCCTCTCGGAGAGGTGGAGTACTTGCAGCGCTGCGAGAGAGCTCTCACAGCGCTGGCGGCGCGACTACACTCGCGCTTCACAGCGCTGCCACGTCAGCGCTGTGAATCCCCAAGTGTAGCCAAGGCTTCAATCTACCAGCCACAGAACAATACAAAATAGGGAAGAGGCACTGTATAGGAACAATGAGGACACAACGATGAGGACACATTCTGTCTGCTTTGGGGATGGAAAGCTCTACAAGAGATCAGGAAGTGATATAAATTTGAGATCTGGGAAGACTTTCTTCCTTTCCTAGATACCTTCCTGGCACTAGGGAACAATAGGAATCTGGAAAATAGAATAGGGTAATTTCAAGTGAGATGGGAGTTCTTCACACCCTGGAATTCTTCTGCAGGTCTGCAGTTTAGATATTGGGAGACCTTAGTTGCTGATGATGAAGAAAAGGCAGGCCGGAATGAGCACAGAGAGAGGAGGGAATTGAGACGGGCCCAGGCACGTATTGTGCTGTTTGCCCACTCTTGCTGAAAAATAACTTGATAAGTATCAGGGAAGGAGAAAATCCCTAAACTTCGTAGAAAGTGTTTTTGTTTTTTAAATCAGGATTTACTGTTTAAAGGTTGCTGTGTCAGAAATTTGAAAATAACAAAGCTGATAGTATCTCTTTCAATATCAGGTGGCACAGTGCTTCAGGGTAAGGGAATATGCAGTAGGAATAGAAAATGACTGCAGCAGCTGCCACCTTTAATGTTGAGGGAACATTTTCGTTGTTGCAGAATGTAGATTGAGTCTCCTGCTTTGGAAATAGGCAGCCCTTCTTTAACGGTAACATTTCTTTTCAATAAATGTTTCAGTAGATCCAGGATCTTTGTCGTTTTCTCTTCCGTTGTCACTCCTATTTTTTGGAAGTGTAGAACTTCCCAAGAAATTGTTTCTAGGTTAACCTGGATTCCCAAAATATTAACGTGGGAGGAAATTTCTTAAACTTAAAAAATCCACCAGATAGTTTTAGAAGGTGCTTTGTGTTTTCAGATCCACTTATGTATTCGTTCTCTTTTTAGCACACCAGTCTTGCATGCACTTTATGGAACTGAAATAATGTAATCTAGTTATATTGGTGGTGGGCATTCTGTGAGAAGACGAGATATTGCCTTATTTCTGCCCAACTAGTGGCTCCCTAAAGCCAAAATAGCCCTTAAAAAAACAAACTAAATAATGTGGCTTGATTCTTGTGGAATCTAAATGCACCACCCTGATTATAAAGATTTGAAAAATGGGAAATCTCTTTGCCAAACTTAATACAGGTTATACAAATCCCAGAGTAGGGGGTAGTTAAAATCCATGTTAAATTCTAGCTTTAGGTATGAAGAGTTGTTCTGATTGAGGGCCACATGTAGTTGATTCTACTGATTATATGTAAAGTTTGAGGGGCAATTAGAACCCACAGTCCTTAATACTGGTGTTTTTGTTTTTAATAAATGTGCAATTTTAAAAATATAAATATTGAAAAATGACTGTGCATTAGATTCGGTAGCGACAAAGTCCGTGGAGCTGATCTGCAAATTAGTCAACAGATTGGATTCAAAAGGAATATTCTGTCCACTCCAATTGTTTTTGATTAGTTAGCAGCTTGGATGTGCCTGAAATTAATGAAGCAAGTATGTGGAACATTTATTAGTTTATTAGATTAAAAGTAATGAATTTATTTTTTTTTAAAGCCAATTCACCACCCCTCTATCCCTCCAGGAAAAGAAACAAACCCGTCTGTTCTTGCTTTAATCAACAAAATTATGAATACAAAGCTAAGCATGAAACTTCCAATATTTAACCCAAATAAGGCATGCATCTTAACATTACCTAGTAGTTTGAGCCTTAAATCTGAATTTTCACAATTGTATGGCTGTAAGGGCTGGTCTACACTGGGGCGGGGGGGGGGGGCAGGGGTGTTGATGTAAGATATGCAACTTCTACTACGGGAATAGCATAGCTGAAGTCGACATATCTTATTTCGGCTTACCTCAGGTCCTTGCGGCACGGGATCGACGGCCGCAGCTCCCCCATCGACTCCGCTACCGCTGCTCGCCCTGGTGAAGTTCCGGGGTCGACGGAAGCGCGTTCGGGGATCGATATATCTCGTCTAGACGAGACGCGATATATCGATCCCCAATAGATTGATTACTGATTCGGCGGGTAGTCTGGACGTACCCTAAGACAGAACAGTGACCCATCTTTAATGTATGTAGAGGATTTTGAAGCTAGGTATTGTCATATCAACAATTTAACATGTTTAAAACTTCTTTCAAATCCAAACTGATTCTTAGTACCAAATGATGGTGCAGCTAACACCACCAAAGTAGTTTAAACTGTTACATGAGTACGTCTTTATGCAAAACATTACTGGAAAAAGTTGCACAATTGACACCTTTCCTTTTGTTGTTGTTCAAGGTATCCATCTCGCATTGAGAAAATAGACTATGAAGAGGGGAAGATGTTGGTCCATTTTGAACGTTGGAGTCATCGCTATGATGAGTGGATTTATTGGGACAGCAATAGATTACGACCCCTGGAAAGACCAGCACTAAGGAAAGAAGGGCTAAAAGATGATGATGAATTTGTTGTAAGTAACAAGTTAATTTTTTTCTGACTCCTTGCCTAAATTATTTTATTTAGGCCTGGAAGGATTAGATTTTTATCAGTTAATGCCTGCAAACATCAATTTCACCATAAAAACACAAACGGATGAAAATGTATTTCCGTCAGTGATAATTAGTGCTGTTGATTAATCAGTTAACTCAGGTGATTAACTCAAAAATTTATCGCAATTAATCGCAGTTTTAATCGCACTGTTAAACAATAGAATACCAATTGAAATTTATTAAATATTTTGGATGTTTTTATACATATTCATACATATTGTATTCAGTGTAGTAACTTAAATCAAAGTGTATATTATTTTTGATTACAAATATTTGCACTGTAAAAATGATAAAAGAAATAGTATTTTTCAATTCACCTCAAACAAGTATTGTAGTGCAATCTCTTGTGAAAGTGCAACTTACAAATATAGATTTTTTTTTTTTTTGGTTACATAACTGCACTGAAAAACAAAACAATGTAAAACTTCAGAGCCTACAGGTCCATTCAGTCCTACTTCTCGTTTAGCTAATCACTAAGACAAACAAGTTTGTTTACATTTACAGGAGATAATGCTACCCTCTTCTTATTTACAATGTCACTAGAAAGTGAAAACAGGCATTTGCATGGCATTGCAAAGTATTTACATGCCAGATTTGCTAAAGATTCATATTTGTATTCTGTGTTGTAATTGTAATAAATATATTTGAAAATGTAGGAAACATCCAAAAATATTTAAATAAATGTTATTCTATTATTGTTTAACAGTGATTAATGGCTCGATAAGCCCTAAGATCAAAATTTACACATAGGCAAAAGTTTAAAAAAAAAAAAAAAAAAAAAGCTGCTTGAGGACTTAAAGATATTTACTTTGTAAATTTTAATTAGTATATTTTGACTTGATATAGGTAATTTGTGTTTTAACAGTTACAAAGCTTTTAACTTTATGAATGTCAGCAGCTACTGTCATTAAATAATTGTCTGACCCCCACCCTTCAAGAATTGTCAAAATTTTGATCACTAAACGTTTTAAAAATGCTTAAAAATAAAGATCAATATTATTTGTCAAAGTTATAAAAAGTAAAAATTGAATTCTGCCAAACCTAATGGTATTAATTATTTTTCAAGGTAAATATCGCTAAGTTACAAAACTTAAGTTTGTTTAGGAAAGGTTTGCACGGCAAGATATTAACAATTAAAAATGTTTAAAATAGGATTTTAAACCTGGAGAAGAGGTGCTAGCTCGTTGGACAGACTGTCGATATTATCCTGCTAAGATTGAAGCAATTAACAAGGAGGGTATGTATATAAATACAATGCATCTGTAAGTACTTCTGTTTGTTAACCAGGAACACTGCTATACTCCTGTTTTAAAATTAAAATGTGTTTACATACGGTTTTATTCACTACGTTAAATATACTGTAGGAAGTATTGCTATTCTATAAGGGGAGGAATGGGTTTGATCTTGTGAGCATTTACCATCTTTCATTTCTATGAAATTAAAAACTTGCGGTACCTCCTCCACTCAATAGTAATGTAACTTTCATTTATAGTAGCGAGATGAATATCCTTGCCTCAATATTATAGAACCCTTCACAGTACTGTTGGTTTGGATTTACATTTATATGCTTACAGTACCTCAATTCTTCTAGAAAACATTCAAAATCTCAGTTTTGAGCTTTGGTAATCCGTGAAATAAGATAAAGTAAATGCAATGTTAAAAGGAAAATGCCAGCTAGTTTAGGCATAAAATTTAAAGTAGTTTTGATGTTTGCTTTGTTTTGTCTTTAAATCTACTGCAATGCTTTTATTGTATTTAAAAACTAATGAGAATTGTTTTTGGGTGTGGGTTTAAATGTACTGATAATATGTGGCATCATTGGATTAATAAATTGGAAATTTATAAACAAAAATGAAGCACTACTTATTGTCCAAGTTGTGAGAAATGAAGGATGTAATCATATAAAATAAGTTTTACAGTTCAACTGTCCAAGGTCCTGAAACCACAAACACATATCTCAGTAACTTTATGCGCTTGTCTTATAGTCCCATAGAACTCAACACTGAGTTTTTCATTGTGAATAAAGAGGGTTTTTTAAGCACTTCTGTCTTGATTGTGTCCCTTTTAATCTTGATGTGATCCAAGGAGGATATGTGACTGTAACTATGAAGGGAAGAATTTTAAATAGATGCTTAATCTTATAGTATTTGCAGAGCCAAAGCACTCACTGATGTCACATGCAGGACTGGGTCTGAAATGACTGTGTATTTGTAGTATTTTGGGGAAGTAGTGAGGTAGGTATGTTTCTAACTGCTCATAGTGATTGCATCAATCCTGTTTTAGGAACCTTCACAGTACAGTTCTATGATGGAGTTATTCGATGCCTAAAAAGGATGCATATCAAATCTATGCCTGAGGATGCCAAAGGGCAGGTGAGGATATTGGGTGTCTTTTCTTGCTTGTTTGTGTTGACTACTAAACAGGGCATGTGATATTAACAGTGACCTGAGAACTGCTGAATGCCCCATGCAGGAAGGGCCATGTAACACAAATGATTTTAAACTTGCTGCTGGCTTCTCTTTAGGTCCCTCAATATGTTGGTTCACCAGTTCTTAACTGCAGGGGCTGCCTTAGCATGTGCTGTGCTAGTGATGTCACTTCAATTATGAAACCTCTGAGTGCTGTATGCTCTCCTCACTGGCTCATCTGTTCCTTGACTGTTCTCTTTCCAGTGGTCCCAACCCAGGACCACATAGGACCTAACAGGTTCTCTCCTCCTTGGTCTTTATGGCCCTTTAGAAGAGGCCTTAGCCCATCAGTGGGCCGCTGCTGGTGGATTTGTTACAATGTCAGATTTCTACCACCTTCTTCTATTAATTCACAGTTGGTTCATTTTTTTATCTCCCTATGCCAAACCTTTTGGAGGTGGGCTGATATTCCTTTATCTGTAACAGTCTCAATGCCGTCACAGAAGAGAGTAGCACCCTTCCAGTAAGGGAGGCGGGTTATGAGATACAATCTAAGATCAATAGCAGGATTTTAACTTAAATACTTAGGAATTTTATCCAAGTTTTATCCAGTCTCCAAATTTGTATGAAGCCTGCTTTGAGCAATAATCTTTTTAGAGTAATTGTGCTGGTAATGAGAAATTTTAGCTATTTTAAAAAAATGAAATGATTGTCTGAAACTTGCTAAAAGAAGCGAGTAAATTGATAAAACGCAAATAGTTATAATCCCCAGTTTTTCAAGAAATTGTTCTTGGAAGAGCAGAATTCAAATGTCTAATCTGCTCTGGAAAATGACTTATAAAAATGAATAAATTACTTGGTTTGGTTATTATATGACTATTTTCAAATGGAGAAATGGGAGGGCCTTTTAAACAATAATTTGTCTGTAGGAGTGCTAGTGCCATAGATGGCAGCCCAAATGGCACTCTTATAAACGCAATAAATTATTCTGCTTATGCTTCTGTGTAACTGAGAGCTTTAAAGCATAATATGACAATCATGCAAAGAAAGTTAGGACTTCGGAGAAGGACAGGCAGTGGATTATTTTGAGGCATCTTCAGACTTTAATCCCCCCCCCATTTTTTTTTAATAGTCCCATTACCATCAGCCTCTTGCTGGATGGTTATGTACATTCTGTGAGTTTCTGTACAAACATTAATTGTGTGACCCAATGAGGTAAGAAGTTCGATTATTTCATTCGATTTTACAAATAGGGAAACTTAGGCAGGGAGGCTGCGACTTGAATAAAGAAGAATAGTGAGCTTGGATTAGAGTTCAGAAGTTCCTTGCTCTTAGTCCTTTGCTTGTTCCACTAAATCATGTCGTCTGTTGCACTATTGAGATACTACTCGGTAGCTAAAGGTCACTTTGGCTTCTCAGCTGAGAAACAAAAGCTCAGTTGGAATAACCAGCGAGTGACAGGAGGAAGTCTGTAGGAGTGCTAGTGCCCTAGATAGCAGCCTAAATGGCACTCTTATAAGCACAATAAATTATTCTGCTTATCTTCAACTATTGAGACACTTGTGGTGTTGGATTTCATGTGTCTGAGGCCAAACCTGAGTGGCTATAGTGGAGATCTTGAGGAATAATCACTGGGACAAACTTGTATTTTTGGCGATTAATTTAGATTTCTACACAGGCTAGGAAATGTTCACATTTAAAATGAAAGATGAGATTAACCTTGACGTTTCTAAGTCCCCCAAATCAGAGGCAGGAATACAAATCTCTTGGTCTCAAAGCAGGCTCCGGGTTTCATTTTTTAAGTAGTAATATAACTGCTGGACAGGAGGCTAGGTAAATTTATTATGCTATGGCAAAAATATCCATTTTTATTTCAAAAGTATTTTTGTTGTAAAAATAAAAATACAGCCTAAGCTTGGTTTGAAGGTCAAAGTTATCTAAGACTAAGTTTTGTTTCAAACTAAAATTGTTCTTTTATTCTAAAGAAGGCACTTACCAGGAATTATTTGACAGGCATAGGTTTATGTATGATTTCTCAAAGAATACCCCCCAACATAATTTGATTGATATGAAAGTCATGCATCAGATGAACCTGTGATACTATTTGTTAAATTCAGACCCAGAACTTTTTTCCTGTTGTGATTTCTCCCCCTCCTGCCCCTTTCCCTCCCCAAAATACTTGTATAGAGAGTTGGCATTTAGGTTTAAAATTGTATTACTTTTAAAATAATAGTAAGGTATTAACATGCAACATTTTTTTCCTGAAAATGTTGAATGTGTGCAAAAATAATTTGTCCATTAGTGTGCAAGCTGACCTGAGAATTACAGAGGCAACGTTTTGATATTTTTAATTCACTAAAAGTTGACTACAAATTCATTTCTCTGGCACCTTTAAAATAATGAGTCCATATAAAATATAACATTCATTAACATTTTTGTATAAGGATTTTTTCTTCTACCTTTGTTATTTGTGTCATCTCTTGTGGTGTACCTAAGAGCAGTGTATGAGTGATGCAAGTGACCATTAGAACAGTGAAAGTGGTTATACCCAAAGTATTGTCAAATGCACAAATTAAGCACATTGAAGAAGAGACTATTTTTTTTATTTTTCTATACCAGTAATCTTTGGAGTTATTTGTAACAAAAATAGGTGTAATATTTTCAGATGGAAATGTGATTCTTTTTTAAGTTCACATTGTCTCTTAAAGTGAGTGATACTGTAGAACTTGAAACATTCTAAGTAAATTTTTTTTTAATACTACAGTATTTGTGTTTCTTCAAAAGTTTCAGCTGTGAGGGTGGAAAGGCAAAAACAAAAACTATACAAACGTTTTTGTATTCTTATTTATAGGGCGACTACAGACCGGGTTCCTGCTTGGATTAGCTATGTTTTAAAATTTAGACAGAAATGCAACTGAGGTGGGGAAGAGAAGAAATGGAAAAGGGGGAGAATGAAAACTGCCCTTGGGGAGCACTTACAAATAATTCAGATAACTTATTTGTTCTGTTTCATGTTTTTTTGTTTTATCTTCAATATAATTAGGCGCGCGAGAGGGAGCAGATAGCGCCGGAGCTGAGATTAGTGACGGAAATCGAACCAAAAGAAGTGAGTTTTGAGGAGGGATTTGAAGGAGAGGGAGGGAACTTGGTACATAGGACAAGGAAGCTGAGGAAAAAAGGCACAATTGGGACAGAGACCAAGAAGAGATGATAGAGAAAACAAGAGCTGAGATATAGGTGGGGCAGAGCTGTGTGGGGTGTTGAACGTGAGAGCAAGGAATCCAGTCTTGATTTCGAAACAGCCAGTGAGCTAGAAAGGGATGTGCGTGTGGATGTGCATGGTGGGAAGGATAATGTGGTAGGAGTGCCAGAAGAGGAAGATAACTGCCGTATTTTAGATAGAGAAGTGAAGAGTTGGTAGTTGTGATAGCTGAAGAGAGAGGTGGCAAGACATGAATCCAGCTGTTGGCAGAAGGGATGGATTTTAGAAATGCTACTGCTTTTTGCCTTCCCACTGTTGCAGTTTATAAGATTATAAAATTAATTATATTTAAAATGCAATTGATCTAGCCAATCAATGTATAGGGATGCTGGATGGTTCCTGCTAACTTATTTCCTTATTATGCAGTTTCATGAAGTTTGGCTTAGTTGATCTGATTTTTGTAATGACTGTATGGTTTGCTATATAATCATGCAGTATGCCAGTCCCTGAACTCTAGCAAGGGCCATTTTTAACCAGAGTGCAGTGATTTCCTTAATGATAAGTTATTATGCAAATCCTTTTGCTTTGACTTTTCTCAGAATTCCACCCATTTGTCCAAAACCGGAGCTGCTGCTTTATCTTCTGACTGCTGCCTATTACTCTGTTGCCCCATATAGGCCTGGACAGGTTAATTAAACAAATGTTTGTAGTGGAGGTAGGAGGAGAAAGAAAGGAACTAAGCCTTCCTTAAGTGGCAAAGAGGAAATACTGAGGGGAAAAAACGTCATTTGAGGTGAACATTGTGGCTCAGAAGTGGAGGCCGCCATGTTGGCTGCAGTTTGATCATAGGGAATTCTGAAGGCAATGGGTAATCAGAACAAAGTGACTTATAATGGCTACTCAGAGCACTGGGGAGGAAGGGGATGAACTTATTTCATGAGAACTATACTTGAGATTGCTCCGTTCTGACTTGGTAATAACTGAATCCTGGAATTTGTATATACAGTGCAAGCCGAAAAAGCTGCTGTTACTGATGTGATTAAAATTATTTGAATGACAGGTTACTGAGAGTCTGGCTACATCTCAGTATTGTGGCTGGCTGTTAGGTTAGAAACCTGGTAACAATCCCAATTCAAGAAAGACTTCAAACTCATTCAGATTTAGAGTCTACCTTTCTTCTTCTTCTTCTCTTTATTTTTCCTTATACAAGTTTTATAAAGGCTTGTAAATAAACTCTGAGCTTACATTTGAAGATGCTTTCTTTCCGAACAGGAATTTCTGTGCTTATCAAAAATATATCCCTTAGTTTCTTACACATGAAATTATCTGTGATAGGGCACTCAACCAAAATAAAAATAGACTAGTAAAGTCTCTAGCCAGTTTCCTTCATTATGTATAACAGTCGTTAAACACAAAACAATATAAATAGGACAGTTCTTGTCTCCAGATCTTCCCGTCTTGGCTTCTAGTCATACAGCCTCCATGTGGTTCCTCCTTACCTGCACCTTCAAAACTTTGTATGGCTCTGAGCTTAAAAAAAAGCTTGTGCACAAGTATAGGTAGAAACCAAGCCCCAGTCGCCCTCCTCTCAGGGTGGCACTTTCATATGGGAATTTGAAAGCCTGACCTTAGAAACCTTGCTGGGATTTAACCCCAAAATCACCATGCCACTGTCTGACTCAGCAGGACCCCCACTTATGGACATCACTGGGGCAGTGCCACCTATGGGGCACGAAAGAATCTGTACGTTCCATCACATGCTCACATCTATCAACTTGTTGACCTAAACTGCACTAAGTAAATACAAATTTAAATAGTAGAAGTGGGTCTACCAGCATATGTAAACTACAAGTATCATCATGACATTATCTCTTCCTTTCTCCTTTTTACTATTGTTTTCCTATGTTGTGCCTCTTGCATTGTAAGCTCTTTGTTACTAGAACTGTCTTTTCTTTCCCATCTATAAAGTACCATCCATATCTCTGGTGCTGTATAAATAATGGTGCAGCTTCATATAGTAGCATTAAGTGAAGGATTTCTTCAATTTTGTCATCCGGCGCAAATGAGTATAGTATACATTGTTGAAGATCCGCGTGTCTACGCTTTTACAATTAATTTTGTAGGTTAGCTCAGAAGAGATTCAAACTCTTTTGGGCAGTGACTTTGTCTTTTTAATGTGTAGTTGGTATTCGCTAAATCAGTGGAAGTGAATACTAAGTTAATGATATTCAGACAGATACATAACTAACTTATCCTGAGGACTGCAGAATAAGGGGAGAATGTGAAGCAAATAATGTCATAGAGAAGAAACAGTCAGCTTCACAGGAAAGTTACTTGATCTTCTTGCATCCGTGTCTAATGCCCTAGAAAAGGGACCTTGCTTACTATTGATATGTTGAAACTATCACTGTCACAAAATGTGTAGTTTATTACACAGTGGAGATGCATATTTAGTGCAAAACAGTGCTAGAAATGTGAATTAAAGGTTGGGCTGTATGAAGAAGGGATAGAGAATAATGCAGAAAAAAGATTTTAACTGAAGGTATGTCCCCATGACACCTTAAAGGGGGCACAGAAAATAGAAAAGGTCCACTGAATGGTAATTGGAAAAACTGGTAGAGGTGTTGGATGGAAAGGTTTCCATATGTAAAGAAATTAAAGGGAGTGGGATTGTTTAGTTTAGAAAGAAATGAAGTATGATTGGAAGAGTGAAAGGGAGGAGGGATAGCTTAGTGGTTTGAGCATTGGCCTGCTAAACCCAGGGTTGTGAGTTCAATCCTTGAGGGGGCCACTTAAGGATCTGGGGCAAAATCAGTACTTGTTCCTGCTAGTGAAGGCAGGGGGCTGGACTCAATGACCTTTCCGGGTCCCTTCCAGCTCTGAGATTGGCTTTATATATGGAGATATATCTATCATGTACTGTTTTTTAATATATCCCATAATACAGTAGCAAGGAAACAATCCAGATTAAATACAGCACATTTTAAATGAATAAAGGAAATACTTCACTACTTACTGAGTGCTGTCTCCACCAAACAGAGAAGAAAATGTGGTCTTAGAATATCCCTAGAGCAAACACCTTTCATGCACATGCGCACACAGTACAATTTAAACATAACATACGTACCTACATATAAAACATTAATGAGATCAAACAGTCAGATGGTCTATAATAAATCTTTTCATTCAAAAAGTTTAAAAATATATTCAGTTGGTGAATACAATTGTTTTTATGTAACAGAATTTTTCTATGGAAAACACTGCTCCAAGATGTTAAGACAAATGGCTTACTCTGGTAGAGTTGTCAAGTCGTTAGAAGAGGGGATCAGGGTCAAGACACCTAGGTTCTGCTACTGCTCACTGTGTGGCCAAGGGCAAGTCACTTGAATTCCCTGTGTGCCAGTTTACCTACCCATCTCTAAAATGGTAATAATCTCTTCCTACCTTCCAGGTGGATTGTGACCGTTAATTAGCTGTTTATAGAGCCATTTGAGATTATTGGATAAAGCTTGAAAATTTAATACAGTAAGAATAGTATTTGCAGTTATTCTAGAAATTTCTGTACCAGAGTTACCATTGCTTCAGGTCATTACCCGATCCACGGCTTAGGTTAGAAAGAATTCTCCTGTCCTTGGATTGTGTAGTTTGCAAGACATGTATGGGGCACAGAGGGATTGGTCTTCCATTTGAAATAGCTCGATTAGTGAGGGCCACAGCTAGAGACAGGATAACAGAGTTAATGGCCTGTTCCAGTATGACAGTTCCTGTATTTCTGTAACTCTTATAGCATACAGATTAGTTATTATGGCACAATAGTGCTTGAAAGGCTAATCAGAGAGAGAGATTTCCATATGCAGTGTTTTTGTTATTTTTTTTTAAATCCACGAGGTAGATTCTAGTTACAATATGTAGGCAATTTGGGAAGTACATTTTACTGAATCATGGGCAATAGTCATAAAACTAAACATAAATGGACTTGGCAATTTCTGGATGAGATTGCTCACTATCTGTAAATGGATTCTGTTTGAATGTCGCAAACTGCTACTAATGCTCCTCCACCTTTGTTTTCTTTTTGGAGGATTGGATAGCTTTGGTCAAAGCTGCTGCTGCTGCAGCAGCCAAGAACAAAGCAGGAAGTAAACCTCGGACCAGTGCAAACAGCAATAAAGATAAAGAGGAGAGAAAATGGTTTAAAGTACCTTCAAAGAAGGAAGAAACCTCAACCTCTACAATCATACAGGAAGTCCAGAAAAAGGAAGAGGAGCCTACATCTAGTGAAACGTTCGGTACAAACTATATTCTAGTTCTTATTTTTCTAAAGGCTGCAAATACACCTCTACCCCAATATAACGCTGTCCTCGGGAGCCAAGAAATCTTACTGCATTATAGGTGAAACCGCGTTATATCGAACTTGTTTTGATCCGCCGGAGTGTGCAGCTCTGCTCTCCCCCCCTCCCCCGAGCACTGCTTTACCACGTTATATCCGAATTCGTGTTATATCGGGTCACGTTATATCGGGGTAGAGGTGTACTGTTTTTTCTGCCTGCCCAGTTACTCTTAGCCTCAGAATCTCTTTTGTTCATATTGCAAAATGATACTGCCAATGGAAGATGGTGTTTGTATCTTAGTAGACTTCAATACTGAAGTCTGGAGCAGTGTTAATTATTTAGATTTATGTGCAAATTTCTGCTTCCTAAGTGGCTCAGAAGAGATCAGTAGTTTATTTTTCTAGATCTCTTTATTTCATTTTCCCTTAAGAGTTTTTTTTTTAACTTAAATTCTAAAGGTTCATGGTTATAATGGAGATTTCTAGATATGTTTGAAGACAATGTAATACATATGTTTCCATGTTTTAAGGGCTATCTAGATTTTTACCTCTGAATCAGTAAATCCTGATGTTCATTTCAACAAAGTTAATATCTGTTACCTTGAAATTTCAAAGTTGTAAGTCAATATTTTTCTGTGTACTGTTAATTGTAAATCTTTAAACTGCCAGTTATGACACATAAAAGTCTATTAATTCATTTTAGAATATATTTTGCATTGAAATATTTACAGTTGATAAGAAATGTTTATGAAATGTGAATTTGTAAATGAACTCTTCCATGTCTGTTCTTTAAAAGTAGGATTCCCAGTAGTGGACATTCCTAAGATGGCGTTTGTGCGGGCAGAGAGCACATTATCGCACAAGAGGAAAAGTAATCTAGGCAACTCATTTCAGGCAAAGAGAGCTCGTCTTAACAAGATCACTGGTAAATTTCCTTTTTATTGAGAACATCATTACTTTTTAACATATCCAAATGTTTATGCTTGTACATAGAGTGCTATGGTAGATCAGTACATGTCTGTTTATTATATTAATACTTTGCAGTTATCGTTTTTGACGATCTCGAAGCACTACACAAAGAGTAATAAAGCCAACCCTGTTCCAAGATTTTGACGTAAGGTCTGTGATTTGACCTATGTCTTCAATTCAATGTCATGATAATTTGATCATTCTGAATAGACCTCTTCCTGGAACAAGTGTGTTCATTAGTTTATAACACCTTTTATCTCCTGATAATTCCCTTTATTGTATGAGGAATGTTATCTACATGGGCTCTGGATGTGGCATTCTGTGTATATTACGCACACTGAATCATTGCTAGTAGATCAGTGGATTAACAATACCACTGGCTTTGGAGACCACCAAAAATTCTGTCCCAGTTTTTTATGAAGTAATGGCAATTGCATTGCTGGAAGGAGACTAGGAAGAGTCTTAAAAGAAAGTTTAAAAAGCATAAGCATTTATTAATGCACTGAAGCACTAGAAAAGACTTCATAATTTCTAAAAGAATGTATACCTTATGTTACTATGCAGAGGTATTAAAGGGGTAACCAAGTGTACAGTAACTAAATAAATAAATAAAGAACTGTGACCTGGTGTGCCTGGGACAGCCTTCGCTGAAAATGCCAAGATCAGGGCAGGCTGCAAAAGGGAGAGCAGATAGGCCCCAAACTGGTGGTTAACACTGAAGTTAAACTCACCAGCCAGTCACAAACAGTGCTTCTGATTCCTCACACTGGTTATCAAGAAGCAAAAAAAGAAGAAAAAAAAAAAATTACACAGCCCCCTTTATTGCATTCCAGTTCTCTGGCTCCCAATCTGCACATAGGTCCAGAAGTTATTTAGAAAACTCTGCTCTCTATACAAAATGTTCTTCTGGGGTCAGCCACGTTACTAGGTCAGTATTCGTTTGGATCTAACCCAAAATACCATGCTGCCAGCCAATTCTTTAGTGTCTAAAGCAAAAGGTTTATTATAAGGAAAAAAGGAAGAACAAGAAGAGTTATTAAATGGTAAGGCAGTCAGATACATACAGAGACTTCAAAGTCCATATATCCGGTTCTTAGCAGCATTGGTGAGTGCTGGTTTGAAAGTCCCTCTAGAACACATCCACATCCGCTCCTTTGTTCAGAGCTTCATTTGTAGAAAAGTTACTCCAGAGGTAAGAAACAGGAATGAAGACAAAATGGAGATGATGCACCTGCTTTTTTATTTCAAGTTGTCTCCCATAAACTTAAACTAAATTTGTAAAATTAAACAGTACATTTTGTAATGGTTATTTTGGTTTACTTAAGTCCCAGCCCTGCAACTTTTTCTATACGAAAGGATCTGTGCACTTATGCATGTTAATTGGGACTCACATAAGTGCAGGGCTCCTCCTGTTTTGAGCAAGCTGCAGAATTGAGGTCTTCTTTGTTAACTTATGAATTACATAAACTCCATGATGACTTCCATTCAGTATTGCAAATTAGTGGGGTTCTGCTTTGCAGTAAATTCATGATTGATTAATTTGTTTTTTTAAGTAATGTCTTTGCACATCTTGGATTGGAGACAATGTTCTGGTTAATTTAAAAAAAAAATCCATCAAACTGATGTAACACACATAGTAAGGAATATAATAGTTTCCTGTAGTAGATCCTTGTGGGGCACAGAAGCTTGATAACAACTCCTTAATGGTGTCAAGTATCAGAGGGTTAGCCGTGGTAGTCTGGATCTGTAAAAAAACAGAGTCCTGGGGCACCCTATAGACTAACAGACGTATTGGAGCACCCACGAAAGCTTATGCTCCAATACGTCAGTTAGTCTATAAGGTGCCACAGGACTCTTCATCGCTTTTTACAACTTCTTAATGAAAAGTCATCTGGGTTACTGATGGATTTGCAGTATTCCAGGGTTCTAAATGTGTTACTTTAGGAGAGCCCAGAGTTCACTAAGTGATATGCCTCCAGTTTCGTGTGTTCTGAATGGATTGTGAGGGTATTTAATTTTCCATGGAATGCAGTAGCTATATCTTGTAGATTGTTCAGTTTGGATAACAATCTCTGTTAAGAGGTAGCTTCTTCTTGGGGCCACAGATTGCAGGAGAAGACTATCAGACTTCGAAGATACCTTGCTGCCTCTGCTTTAGTTTTCCTTTATGCACGTTCAAGCGGGCTGGGTCTCCTCACCAACATTACTTAGTAGAGATATTAAGTAATAAAGTAAAAGTTCCCAGACAAAGCAGCTCTGAAACACCTAGTTTTTGCCTGGGCAACAACAAGCTCTGTGTCTAAAATGAGGGGGGGGGGGGGGGGAAATAAATAAATAAATACATAAATAAAAACAATTCTGGACATCAAGTTTAAAACTGTTGGCTGTTTCTATTGTCTGGTTGTTAAATGTATATTAGTAGTCTTATATATGGATTTGTGAATGAAGAACTAGCATTATTTTAAATTACTAGTTTCCCATTGATCCTATTATCAGGGTCACCTGGAGTCCCTATTATTTAAATCATAGAGAATGAAAATTCTGATTAGATAGTCTAGTCTTGTGGTTCTCAAACTTTTTTTTCCACGGACCACTTGTACCATTAGCTAACTATTGTAAAGCGCTTTGGATAAAAGCACTATCTTAAAAAAAAACCTTAATAATCGTTTTTTTGTTCTACAAACGAAAGCACACACAACTCATATTTTAATATCTGTAGTCTTACCTTTCTAATGCGATGGATGTGCTCTCTCTCCCCGGCCGCAGCAGCCCCCGACCTGGGGCTGGGAAGGAGGGGGCGTCTCTCCCCGGCAGCCGCAGCCCTGGAGCTGGGGAAAATCGCCTCCTTCTCTGGCCACTGCAGCCCTGCACGTCCCAAATTTCCTCCACCCCCTCTTCTCATCCCACTGCCCCCTCCCACCTATACCCTATTTCCCCCCAAGCCCACCACCTCACTTTACACGTGCATCTTCTCCAGGGTCCAAGCACCTAATTAGTGTAGCCACACTAGCGCGGCTCCACTAATTAGGTGGTTGGCCCTTCATTTTCTCATGTGCGGCCGCCCAGGTGTGCACCTTAGAGGGAACTATCAGTGGACCACCTGAATGGAGCTCGCGGACCACTGGTGGTCTGCAGACCACAGTTTGAGAACCTCTGATCTAGTCTATCCACCCACCTTTGTAAGATTTTTCCTTGTGTTAGATGCTTCAATGTTTTGCTTAGTCCAAACAGGATTTTCATGGGCCTGTTAAAGAGATGAGAATACATAACAGGCAAACTTTGATGGGAACTCTGCAACTGTAACCTATAACTAGGGCCCTACCAAACTCACAGGCCATTTTGGTCAATTTCACGGTCATAGGATTTTAAAAATAATAAATTTCATAATTTCAGCTATTTAAATCTGACATTTCATGGTGTTGTAATTGTAAGGATTTTGACCCAAAAGGAGGTGTGTGTGGGGGAGATCCGCAAGGTTATTGTAGGGGGGGGTTGTGGGATTGCTACCCTTACTTCTACCCTGCTGCTGGCGGCGGTGCTGACTTCAGACTGGGCAGCTGGAGAGTGGTGACTGCTGGGCAGGAGCCCAGCTCTAAAGGCAGAGCCGCCGTCAGCAGCAGCGCAGAAGTAAGGATGGCATGGTATGATATTGCCACCTTTACTTCTGTGCTGCTGCCTGCAGAGCTGAGCCCTCAGTCAGCAACAGCCACTCTGTCTGCCCAGCGCTGAAGGCGGCAGCGCAGAAATAAAGGAGGCATGATATGGTATTGCCACCCTTACTTCTGTGCTGCTGCTGGTGGGGCGCTGCCTTCAGAGCTGCGTGCCTGGCTAACAACCGCCACTCTCTGGTTGCCCAGCTCTGAAGGCAGCACTGAAGTAATGGTGACAATACTGTGACCAGTGGTGGATTATGCTTTTCTGGGGCCCAGGGCCAGAACAAGTGGGAGCCCCTCCACACCCCTTCCAACTGTAGTTGCCCCCCATCTCCCTTCCCCCCCCCCCACTCCTGCCGGGGAGGGGTCAGGGCGCGGGGGCTTCCCCTGCTCCCCGGTAGGAGCGCCGGTCGGGCAGAGTGGGGCAAGCCCCCATGCCCCAACCCTGTTCCCCAGCAGGAGCGCAGGGTGGGTAGAGCGGGGCGTGGGGGTGCCCACTTTTCTGGAGCGCCCCAATTGGCTGGGGCCTCATTGACCAAGTGGCTAATCTGCAACTGACCGTGACTCCCCTAAAACAGTGGTTCCCAAACTGGGGTTTGTGAAATGTTACAGGGAGTTCTCGGGGGAAAAAATTCCCTAATGGCGGATAGAGCTGTCCGTAGGGACCCCGGGCAGCACGGGACCAGCAGCCCAGAGCCCCTGGACTTCCAAGAGCTAAGCAGATCAAAGCAAGCATATCTATCACACTGAGGAGATTTAAACTTCAAGTCTCCTTATAAGACTTAGAAAGGGAGATGGATATTTTTTGCTGTTTTTAAAAGTAAATAGGCAGCTAGTATGGTTTGTTTTTAAAATTATTATGAAGAACAAGTTTAAACATTGTTGTAACGTGTGTTGTTTACCTGGACTGTTCAAGACCTGAATGCTTGTGTAGGAGGAACACTTTGAGTTGGCTTCTTAATACCTTCATGCTGTTTCACAGCTGATACTCCTTGCTGAAACATAGGAGCCTTGTCTTATAACAGGCTTATTCAAAGTGATACAAGCTATGAAAGTGAGATCTTGGAAGAGTGTTGCCATTTTCATAATGTAATAAAAATACTGTAATGATCAATAATAATTAATAATAGTGTGTAATAAACATGTCATTAAAAACAAATTTTATATTTCCAAGATCATTGCTTTTTATAATTTATACTCAGGTAAAGGAGACAATCCCTGGAAATATTCATTTTTAGGAGGGGGTTCGCGAGACTTGACATTTTAGTGAAAGCGGTTCACAGTTGTTAAAGTTTGGGAACCACTGCCCTAAAATAACCTTGCGACCCCACTCCCACCCCCGCAAGTCCATTTTGGGTCAGGACTCCCAATTTGAGAAATGCTGGTTCCCCTCGTGAAATCTGTATAGGGTAAAAGTATAGTATTGGGTAAAAGCACACAAAAGACCAGATTTCACAGGGGTAGACCAGCTTTCACGGTCCATGACGTGTTTTTCATGGCCGTGAATTTGGTAGTGCCCTATTTATAACCATTAGGAAAGCACACAAAGACCAAATGTGGAGGGAATGAGTGAAGGAAGGAATTCGAAATAACCTCCTAAAATCAAAAGGTTGAAAACTTACTTTATGACTGTAGACCTGGTTTTGAAGCACAATTGCTTTGGGATTGAGGGTCATAGCATTACAATTTAGAGCTCCTTTTCCCTCTCTGGCGGTGGAATTGGAGTGGCTGGTGCTAATCTTCATGTATAATACAGGGCCTGTGAATTGTAGTCAGGGTCTCATAAGTTTTGTTCTTGTATGGAGTCTTTATTTAAAAGGGGGTTTCAGAGAGAATCTTTTTATAGATGAAAATGTTTTAATTTGTTTTCACATTTATGTTTTTCATAAAAGCTGCTGATAGCAAACGGTAAAATAAAAAAAACAACCTATTCTAAATATCTCTGTGCAACTTTTCTCTTAAGGTTTGTTGGCATCCAAAGCTGTTGTTGTGGATGGTGCTGAAAAAAAGGAAGGCAACAAAGAAACAGCTCCAGTCCTGGAGCAGGTATGAAATGGTAGAGTTTGATTCTTTTGCAAGGTTCCCACTGGAGTGTGCCATGGAGATATAGTATCCATAACAAAATTGCCCCTTAAGAAACAGCAATAGGGAACTAAATATTTGATCTTATGTTTACATCTCTGCGTAGCCAGAAGCATACAAGTAAATTGACACAAATGACAGTGTTAACTTTAATTTTCATAAATGAGTTACTGTCTCCAAGGAATCAAAGGCTAGTAAACAGCGGTCCCAAGGTTTTATAGCTGAAACCATGCCTATAACTGGCTAAGAAAAAGACCCTTACACAAATTTGATTTGTGGTTTGAAACAGGGTTTTTGGCATCTAGTAAAACTTCTTTTGTAAGAAGTTTCTTTTCTATTGTAAGAATTGGTGTTGTAGACTGTGCGTGTTTTATGAACTGTTCAATGAGCCATACATTTTGCTAAGATGTATATTTTAATACATACAAAAAAGAAACTTTAATGTTAGGGGTCTGATTTAAAACCACTTATTTGAAGAATTGAAGGTTGCCTCCCTATCTCTGGCTCATTCCATTGTGTTCAGGTGTTGCTTGAGTCTCAGAATTGTGCATGATCTTGCATGCTAAAAGGGCTGACTACCTAAGCACAGTAAAGCAAGCTAAGGATGAAGTGGCAGCCTTAAATCTTGATATTTTTGCTTTTGTTGGCTTAAATAAGATCCTTAATGTAGTTTTAATATGGCTTTTTTGTATTAATTTTTTTTTTTTTTAATGGTTTGTTTTAAACAAACCAACTGAAAAGAGCACTTCTTTTCTTCACTAGCCCCACCACGCTCTTAAAACAATCCCTACCCCAAACTTTGATACTCTGTTTCTTGCAACTGGTTCTTTAGTCCTGATATATAGTGGCATTGCTATGGTTTTTCCATTGACCCTGGGTTTGAGACGCTTAGATCCAATACAGAGTGCTGTCAATGGAAAGTTATGGTTCTACTTTTAATGCTGCCACTGTAATGGTTAATTCTGAGCTACTAAGGTGTCAATGCATTGACTGATCTTTTGCATAATGGTTTGATATATTGACATGATATTCCACTTTTCCAATCTTTGCATATTAAAGATGCTATAATTTCTTAGTACTTTTGTATAATACTTTCTGTGTGCAAAAAACTGTGAGATGTCTGACAGCATGACATTTCTGGAAGAATCATTACACTGTAAATCTTACTGTGCAGAGTTCCATTGAAATAAATGGGATTTTGTCACTTAAGACTGTATGCAACAGTATAGATTACAGTGCATATTAAAAGAAACTTCTGAATAGTAACTTCTTAATCTAAAATAACTCGGCTGTTTCTATTTTTACTTTGTTGATTAGAAATAATAACAAAAAATCCAGAAGGGACTGTCACCATTCACTGACTAATGGTCTGCAAAACATTTTTGAAAATACTTGTTTTAGTTGTGTTCTTAAACAAAAAAAGCATCCAAAACCCAACAAATGTACTACCGGTACTTCGCCCCTTTCTTCTAACTGAAAAGAAAAACAAAAAACCTATCAAACATAAACTGATTAAGTCGGGGTGGGAGTGTCTGAGCTCAAATTTTTTTTTGCTAAATTCCAGCCCAAATGCAAATTAAAATGGCCGAGTTATAAACCCCTAAAATGGCAAAGCTGACAGCCCTTAATTACAGAGGTGTACTGTCTGCTACCACTGTAATACTGATTGGGTAAATGTCTTGTAGTGTGTTTTTAAATAATGTAATACAGGACACAGTAATATTCAGGCCAACAGCCAAAAACATACTGTGCTGATGAAATTATATTTATAACTTTTTTTAGTTTACAACTGTCTTAAACCCAAAAACCTCAGACTATTACATGTAGATTCAGTAGTTTATTTAAGTGTATTAGGGTTATGTAATGTTATATTTCCTTTTGAGGAAGACCTGCTTAGATGAATAACTTTAATTCATTAAGTTTTTTTTTAATGTTAGTTTGTCCTTGTTAAGAGGTTAAGCACCTTATCAAAATATTAATTTAATTTTTTAAATCTTGTTTAAATAACTTTGTAATTTGAAAGTAATGGACGCTGTAGTAATGTCTTTCACATATGTGAAGATGAACAATAAAATTGTTTATTTAAAAGTTATGGCTCTAATTAATTTCTGGTAATACCTTTTGTAATCAGCATAGGTATACTCTACAGTTCATGGAATATTTTATTTAAATGAATAAACTTCACTTAAATCACGTGTATAATGAGCTGATTCAAGGATAAAACGGGGGATAACTGAATGGGACACTTTGCACCGGAATTTTACATGGTACTTCCAGCATGCCATTCATGTAGCATGCAAGGATGCCCTTTTTTTAAGTATGTCGTGTGTGCTGCTTTTTTTTTAATATTTCCACTGGAACTTGCAGCTCCCATGTTCCAATGGAAAAGAGAGTTTCTATTCAATACCAAAAATGCAGTCCTCTGAAGTACGGAGGTCTGAAAACTGGGAAATGCCCCCAAATCGTCAGTGGAGTGAAATCTTTTTGGAGAAAGTGGTGCGCACATTCTAGAAACAAAAGTTTACACTTTCATAATTATGGTTTTGTTAGCTAACATAATACCATGATGCATATTCAACTGGGCAATAGATGAAACAAAATTTGAGGTCATGTGTTCAGATATGTACAAGCTGCCATCTTTGGGCAAATACTAACACTGTTACAGATTACTCCGCTTGTAGGAGAACCTCCTTCTAGCAAAAAATTTAAAATTCTAATTGTTGTAAAGTCAGATGGATTGTTTTTAAATATTTCAGTACATGCATTAAAAAGAAGGGTGAAAATTTTCAGCTTTAGAAAATGCAGCATATTTTGCTTTTCAGAAACTGGTTTTTTTAACCTACATTTTATCTGCTTGTTTTTTTACAGTTAGCAATCTATTTAACCCTGTGGTGCTAGAAGTTGCGATTTCATGAAACATTAACACAAGCAAGTAGTGTGGTGAAATCCAGACTCCCAGCACTGAAAGGGATTGTGCTCAAATTTCATCATTGTTTGTTGTTCTAAGACTTTCCTTAAAGGGGCACTGTCAACCTTTTCAGATTCTTCATCAAAACTGAAGTAAATTTGTGGAAAATGACATCCAACTTCTAAATATTTATTTTAAATTGATGACTCTTACTGAGAAACTTCTGTTTTGTGGTGTGATCACAACAAAGCTAACATACCTACTTCCCATTCTGGTTAGTAGCAACAGTGTTCTTCTCTAAGTCATTCTTTATTCTTGCCGAAAACATTGATGATGATGGCTCGTAATGAGAGAGAGAGAGATGGACATGAAAAGGATTTTATTGTATTAGAAAAACAGCAAAATGCACTATTTGTCAAATAGAAATTAGATAGTTGGTAAGAGAAAATAATGTTTTAAAGCTTTTTTTGAGGGTATTGCAAGCAATGAGAAATGAAGAAAAACTTTTAAGCATGAAAGTCATTGGCAGTGTCCCTTTAAAAACAAACAGATTGCTCAACTTTTACTTTGATACATTTGAGTCTGTTTTTCATTTGTATTGGAAATGATAAATGTTGCTTTAAAAATGTTTTTGAAAAAATGTTTTTGAATACTAAAGATGCTAAAAAAAAGATCAAAGTAGAATACAAGAACCACAATGAAGAAACTGAAATAAAAGTATCAATTTCTTATTATTTATTCAGGAGATTTCACCTAAACCTCAAAGTCAGAAAAAAAATGAAGCTGATATTAGCAGTTCTACCAACACTCAGAAACCTGCACTGTTATCCTCAACTTTGTCTTCAGGAAAGGCTCGCAGCAAGAAATGCAAACAAGAATCTGGAGATTCTTCTGGGTGTATAAAGCCCCCTAAATCACCACTTTCCCCAGAGTTAATACAAGTCGAGGATTTGACGCTGGTCTCTCAGCTTCCTTCTTCTGTGATAAATAAAACTAGTGAGCACAGACATTTTAAAAAATACCATAATTACTTATAGTCATAAGAAATATACAGAAAAATAATTGATTGTAAATTAATGTTGCTTTTTACAATGAATCTGCTTTTTTTATAAAAAAAATTCAAACGTAAGTGGGTGCATTAGGGATAGCTCAATCTTATAAAAAGTAAAGTCACATAACATGGTGTGTGAATTATGGTGCAAGTAATAATGGCACTTTTATGGTAGTAGAAAGTCATGGCTTTTAATGATTTAAGTTCCATTGTATGAATCTCCACACTAATGGTAATAGTGATACAGGAGAAAACAAACACCTCTACTTAAAGGGCCTGATTCATTAAAAATATGTGCAGTTTTCTTGCGGATCTTTCCTTTCCATCATTGAGGAACTCTGCCTTCAGTCGACTGTTTTGATGTACCTGTTGGCTGCACGGTCCTTCACACTACATGATATTTCCTCTAAATCTGATGTGAGAGAGAAGATGGGGTCAACTTCTTTGATGGGAAAATAAAGGAAGTTGTCCTGTGTAGGGTGAAAACACCTTAGTAGTTCAGCCTTTTTAAAGCATAAAACTGGTTTTCAAAATATCAAGATATTGTTGGTGGACGGAGGAGTTGGTGAAACTTATCTGCTGCATAACATCCTTGAATGATTTGATTACATTTTTGAGCAATTGCAATCTTGCTTTATATATTTTATTTTTGCTGGAGATGGATAGTGTAGCTTTTTCAGATTTGTTTTGAGCTTCACCTCTTAAAGACACTTTCTTGCTTCAAAGAAGGCGAAGTCATGCGGTCAACAGTTATAACTAACATGGGTTTCTGTAAAGCAAAAGCCTAAGTTTTGCTTCACTCCCAGAGCTGTGACAAAATAAGGCCTGAAGAGGACTCCTTCATCACATGTTGCATCCTTACATCTACAGTTGACATCTTCTTGAGGAGATAAATGTCTCTTAATCTTGTAGCAAATTTTAATTGAATGGGGGAGGGAAATAAGCCAATTAAGTTTTCTGTATTCTCTCAATAAATATCATTGGTTTTAAATCATGTTATAAATTTCCCCCACAAAACACTGCCATCCACACATGTTGCAATACCCCCAAGATGTCGGTAAGTAGTTTTGCTTGAGGAGGTTTTGTGTTTTGGACTGAAGCTACGCATCTGCTTGCCATTTAAAAAAAAAAAATCTGTAACTTCATTGCCTAGGTACTTATTTTTTTATTATGGTTTGTAACAGCTCCCACCTCTTTTTGACTTTTTTAAAAATAGAAATGTAATTTTTGTTGCTACTGCAAATCTTTAGTATGACACAAAGGAGTCTAGGTAAGACAAGGAGGAAAAAGAATTAATGATTTACAGAACTCTAATATATGCAGGTAAAGCACATTTCTCCAAGTACAATATATGAAACATGCATAAGTGAGGTTTTATTTATTTATTTTTTTAATGAATCAGGCCTATAATATCGACAAATATTTCTCTTCATTTGAGATTCTTTATGCTGAGGTTTAAACTTCTTGCTATGTAGTGCATTGACAGTTAATGTTTCTGTATTTGCTGTTACCAGGGTGTTAATATCAGTTTAGAAGAAAGTGGAGAGATTAGAACTAAAGTGAACCATTACCTTTTGTGAATTTATTTTAAAAGTTTTATGTTAATGCTGTCCATGCTTTTTTATTTTTATTTTTTTAAGTCTTTTACTGTGACAATTATTTTGCTATACTGGAAATCCTATTGTTTCTTAAACTATAAGCTTGTCTACACTCTCATTGATTTATGGGGTGGCTCCCCTTAATGCAAATAGATTATTTGCATAAGGACCTCCTCTACATCCATGGAGGCTAGATCCTCAAATTCATATAGTAATATATTAAGCAAAAAACCAAAATCTTGCCTCAAACATTAACATTCATCTGATATTCATAGTTTTATTCATTTTTACAAAGCACAATGTGATTAGCAGTTCTGCAGAAGAGAACTATTTAAAGCATGACCCTTCTCTAGATCTTAAAATATTTCCGTAAGATTATGACATATCTCTACTTCATGAACATTGAAAGATCTCTTTTTAGGTCCGTCACAGCCAGTGAATCCCCCTAGATCCTACAAATATAGCCAGAGGAGAAGAAGATCACAGCGTTTAGCCACTTGCTCGTTGCCTGATGAGTCTATACAAAAAGTTCCTTCTCCCTCTCCAGTCACTGATGGAAAAGTGTTCTCCATCAGTGCTCAAAATCAACAGCCATCAATATCAGAGGGTAATGTATTTAATCTAATAAAGAACAACCCGAGAGAAACAATCATAAAGAATAAGACCTTTCACATTTTTTTTTCACCTAATGAGATCTTTGACTAACATTGAGTACCTTTAGCTACATGCTGTTTGTTTATTGTAACACTGCGACCCATACTGTTATTTGTCGGGCTTATATATCTTTGTTAATATTACATTCTTTCTTTTGTGTAGTACCTGATGTTGCTCATATGTCACTTGAGAAGCGTGGACCATGTCTCCCTCTTGACTTAAGCCGTAGTTTGGAAGTTACAGCGCCATTATCCACAGAATCCACTTTCCGTAATGAGTACCCCAGTAAAGAAAAGGAAGATACTCAGATGATTACATATCATTCTTCCAAAGCAGTAACTGATGGAAGAGTAGCTACAACAGCGTCAGGTAAAGAGATTCAGTTCACAAGCAGTTAGGTTTATAGCTGCAGGGAATGTAAGTGTATTGTTCAGTCATACAAAATGAAGGGATAGGTTTTCTGTTATAAGCTTTCAAGTCTTCCACTCCTCCTGGGATCCTTTCGGATTCTCTGTCTTCTCTCAGCTTTGAATTGCATTAGTGCTTTGGTTCTAATGTTCTTCAAGGTGAATCTGGTTTTATACTACAGATAGGGATCGAAAGCTCAAGTGCAGCAATTTTGAAAAGGAGCATAAATATCCACAGATATTTGCTGTCAGATGTTAAACTCAGGAATTCCCATTTGTCTTTTTTAGCTTTAGGTTTAAAATTTAGGAATATAAATTTAACTTTCTTTAGCCGGTCTTGATTTGACTTTTTTCTTCATTTGTTTGATTGGGAAAATACAGTAATGCTTGTAGAGTGGGATTTTCAAAAGCAGTCAATGTTGGTCTAGCTCTCCTCTCATTTAAAATCCACTGGATGTTTTCCAGTGACCTCAATGGGAGAAATATGACGCCAAAGTTGAACATTTCTGAAAATCCCCCTTTAATTTATAAGTTTATAGCCCTGATCCTACCCTCTGTTCCCTTGTGTCAGTGTAGAGCCCCACATAGAAGGCCTGAGAGTTGTTTAACTAAAGTGATTAAAAATGCAAAAAGTAATAACTTTTTACTGTCCTTTTAATTTGGAGACCGTCTTGTTCTCTTAAAGAAAATTTTGTGCAATAAATTATTAAAAATATAGAAACATTCTTAAATATTTGTAGCTCACTATTTGAAGTATTGTGTTCAAATGAGACTGTACATTCTTATCAGGAAAAATTAAATGTCATTGTGTAGATAATGATATATTCATGGAATAACTTTCATGGCCTCACTCTTGGAAAGATACCACCCTATGCACATTCCTGTTATCTCCACATAGGTTGATTTTTCTGCCCATTCACAGCCTTAGTTACTTAGTTCCAGGCAGGAATTATTCGGTGAAACTCTGTGACCTGTGTTATGCAGAAGATTAAACTAGATTATCATAATTGCCCCTTCTGCCATTAAAATCTATGAATCTATAAAATAGGTATATTTTTAAGATAAAGCGGACCATAAATATTTCCAATTTTCATTTGTTAAATTTTTAAAAATATTGCTCTTCTCTACTTCTCCAGTGAAACTTCGTGCATGTGACTCAGTCTTCTCTTGTCTGATTGTGGTATATTACAAACAGTAATTTATAAGAATTCTCCAGTGCATTGAAATGTAGTGTGTACTTCAGATTCTATAACAATTTTTCATATCATACTTCCCTCAGGGTGCTCAAAAGCAGAGCTAGAGATTCCATAGAGAATTACTTGTACAGAAACCCACTTATTGAATGTGGATGCCCAGTGTCTTGAGCTCAGAGCTATTTAGAAAAGCTGTGTCCATTGGGGCTGCATGTATTCCCCCATCAAAAAATTTGTGTGTTCAGAGCCAGGTTACAAAAGAGGTACCAGCAGCACCAGCTACCATCTGTTCCTGTTTTGTCATAGCTCGCTGCAAGTGTTATGACCATCAGCTTTACAATTTCATTATTTATTCCAATTTTCCTGCTGAATCTGTGTTGGGCGGGGTGATTGCTGGTTAGTTTAATGTAATTAGTATTGCTTTGTAGGTGTTTGCTTTGTTGCAGAGTATCCTCTTGGCACTAGCTTAGGATCTGAGTGGTTTGGTCCTGGTCACTAACTAACTGTTTCTTCACTCAGTGAATGTCATTATACTGCTTCAGTGAATGGGCCTGGTTTTAGTCCAGGCTATGGATGATCCTGACCAAAAAACCAAACAAACAGGCTTTGAACAAAGCGTGCTGTGGCTCAGAAATATTTTGACACATCGGTACTTGTATTGTTTACTCTGTCTCAGAGAAGACTATTTCCTGAGGTGTGCTGGTTTGTCTGTGGCTTTTACATCTTGGGCCCAGAATGAGAGAGAGTATTTACAGCTCTGCCTTCTGCAGGAGGCTGTGAAAGCTAATTTGATGGATCTGATTTCTACAGATCCTGGTCTCTCTAAGGTTAACAGTGCTTGTTGGCGCCACATAAGATTCAAAGTAGTCTGCTTCAGCTTTGAGGGAATCAGTCCGTGGGTGCCAGGTACCTGTTGTTTCTGTCCCTCTGGGTCTGTGGCTTGATCATTCTGCTTTTTGGAGATGGCAGTGCTTGTTCTGAATAGGGATGTAAAATGTTAACTGGTTAAGCGATTAACCGATAAGTATCAGTCTTATTGATAAGGTATTATGGTTACCATTTAAACTCTGGCTGCGGGACTTCGCTGCTGGCCCCCCACGCGTCCGGGGTCCCAGCCTCCCTGAGGTCCCAGGCATGCTGGCAGCTGGGAACTGCTGCGTGGGGTGGGGCTAGCAGCGAGCGGAGTCTCTAGGCATTGAGCCAGGACCCTGGTGCCCAGGGTGGCAGCAGAGCCTAATGGTTAAAATTTTACTGGTTAAACATTCAATAGTTTAAATGTTTACTTTTTTTAAAACGTTATTTACATCCCTAGTTCTGAAGTCTCCTTTATTCCAGTGCCTCAAAGTCAAACAGGAGGACCTGCTCTATCTTGAGCTTCCATGCTGTTTTTCTGTCCTGAGGAAGGTCAGGTGAGTTTTCTAGGTGGCATGCGGCAGACCAGCCACCTGAACAGCATATGTGCTATGGTTGGAACGATAGGTCTGAGGCAGTTGAGCTATTTGGATCTTAAGCTTCCATAGGGAGTCTTGGATCTGAGGACCCAATCATTGGGTGTCCTGATAAGCCTGTGTTCTTGAATTAGAGTGGGCTTCTGTCTGTGCCATATTCATCCATGGTTGTCATAGGTCTTCTGAGCCTGATAACTCGAGTTTGCCTTATAGTCTTCCTTCTTCATCTTTGAAGAAGTCCTTCCTTCCAAGGGCTACCCAACTTAGCCTTGGCATCATCAGGGACAGGCTTTGAAGCTCCTTTGGTCTACTCTCAGCTTTGGAAGACCCTTATGCACTTTTGAAGGGGTCTGGTCTTCTCCTAGATAGGCATTTACATACATGGGTTTCTCCATACCACTTTCTGCAGATTTCCTTTCCTTGGGGAGCTTTTGGACAATGTGGGTCTTTGAGGAGCAATCGCCACTGGCTCCTTTTTTGCCCAAATACACTAGAATCACACACATCTATTCCTGTTAGCTTCTCCTTTCTGAGGAAAACTAGAGTTTTTACCCATGTTGTCTTACCACACTTCCATCTTGAGAGCTGTTACCTTCTTTGATCAGGAATGAGGATAACCTAGACAGAAATCCTGCCAGAACTGGAGGATGGCTGATGATGTGGAAGTCACGGATTGTACTGAATTTAGGCTAGCTTCTTCCACATCCTTTGAGAAGACAGTGGTGGCAATGTCTCCATTGGAGGACTGCAGTTTCAGAATCTGTTCGGAGCACTGGCTGAAGTTTTGAATCTGTTTCTCAACTACCCCCAGAAAATACACACTGATTTTTGACATGCTCAGATGTAAACAAAAGAGTTGAATCAAGTTGCTCTTCTAGATCGTTTTGACCTTGCAGGACTAGGGATACACATCCCACATTATAGAGGCAATGTAATCAAAGAACAGTTATTGGTGAATATCTTTCTACTGAAGAGTGCTTTCTTCCATTATAATTTGGATATTGGAGGCATATAGCTGCGGTAGCTGGCTGCAGTTGGCTTTCAAAGATAGTTTGTTCTAGGAGAGCAGCCAGCAATAATAGCAGAAATTATCTGGAAAATCTGAAGCATATACTTGCTGTATATTTGAACAGAATAAACCTCTCCAACTCTGGTGATTCACCAAGTAGAATTTAAAGATCCCAGGGCTCTGACAATAAGAAAGCATGTTAACTCAAATGTGCCCCCAAACATTAACATTTCCTGTTCTACTGTTGTGAGCTGTTTCTGAGTACATCAGACCTTCTCTACTGGTCTGCACAGTTATAGAAATAGCAATATTTATTTAACTTATGATTTGTATAATTCTTGAGTATAATAGGTATTATGTAAAAACATCCTGTCTGTCCAGATTCACTGTAGTTTTGTAGGAGTTCCTGTGAGTAGAGGACATGTAGCTCTATTGTTTCCCTACTACTTTATTATGTATAAGGCATTTATTATGGGAAAGTTTGGGCATAGAGATGAGTTTAGCATTCAGATCTGAACAAGGTGATTGCCATTCATAAAGCATATTCTGATGGAAGAGGTTTATCATCAAATCTTTACTATTCCCTTGCCAGTGGCAGCCAGTTTTACTTGCAGATAATCTTCCAGCAGTCAAATCTGTCAAAGTTTCTGTTTGAAATTTCAAACATGCTACTGTGAACCTGATGCACTAAATTATAGTATAACACTTCCTCCTTTTCATGTGGAAAATGATCTCGCATGAAAGTTCAGTGTGCTCTTGTCTCAGGGGACTTACAGTTAGATAAGAGACTAGGGTTTACTTCTCAGCTCTGCCAAAGACTTTCTGATGTTGAGCATGTCACTTTATCTCTCTCTGCATAAGTTTTCTCATCTGTGATATGGAATTATCTCAGAAAAGTGTAATAAGGCTAAATTAATATTAATAAAGCACAGTGAGGTCCTGGGATAGAGAGTGCTATAAAAATGCAAGATATTACCAGTATTCCTATTATTGTCCACAACGTACAGAAGCAGATGGAGCTGTAATATTTAGATAGAGGAAAAATGCTATTATCCCAAGACTCAAAGAAAAATGGTACCTATTTTTCTCACCTTGAATAAACTGAAATGTATTAAGTTTATCATGACTTCTGAGGCTAGAGATAGAGGGGCCATTTGGACAAAGTGATGCCATTTATGGACCTGGAAGTGTTTGACTCTAGTGTAGGAGATAAGCCATTTTTTTTTTAAAAAGTAGATCATATTTAATTGTGGAAAAAGAACATTAAATATTTATTCATGCTTAGCAAAGCTTTTCTTTTGTCAAACCATTA